AAAAAAATGCTGAAATGAAACGTTTTACGTACCAGGTTTTTCTCTTTTCCGTCTTGCTATATAAGGGCTTTCACCCATGGTTGAGGTCGCGATGTCTTGCTTTTGTTATTTTCCTGAGGATTTTGTTCTGGCATATTTTAATCGCTATCGTTTTGATTAATATGCTTTTATATGTCTGTTGTAATTATTTAAACGTAGTGGTGGTCAAACTCATTTATAATTATTATTATAATTCAAAAATTTTAATGACATGACATGAGTTTCGGTACCACTTTAAATACAAAATTAAAATCTTCCGGAAAAACCGGAAGAGCTGGCAGGTATGCCTTTTAAAAAGCAAGAAAAAATTGTCACATATCTGCAAAATTTACTTTGCAGTTATTTACCGTTTTTTAAAATTTATTTTGGCGTGTCCGGAGCAGTTGGCATCTCTGCAACGTAATAGCTTTATACCTCTCCATTTTGATAGTAGTAAATCATGATTTAGTTCGATCATGAATTTTATTTTATTTTATTTTATAACAGTCGTTGAACAACCGACCCAATTTTGGGTTTACAACAACTTATGTTCAAATCCGTAACTTTGGAATTTTGAACGCAATCCAGAAAACACGGAAACTCCTGGATCAGTACCCCCAGAGGCATGATTTGTTATGGGAATATAGACGACTTTGTGATCCAACAAATTTAACGTGCATCCATCACCATTTACTACACGGGGAGTCTTCGATCTGCAGGGATCGAACCCACGATCTTTTGGACATAGGCCCAGTGCGCTACCAAACAGGCTTTCCCGGCCGTACATCATGAATTAGAAAGAAAGAAGAAAATTTTAACTTTTAAAATCATTAAGTAGATGCAGAATATGATTGGTTTAAAGTGAGATGATTGCAGCGCCATTAAATGCGACTGTAGCGCCTATAAAATTAATATATCAATCTAATGCAGCGGTTCTGGTGTTAAAAAAATAGAAGTAAATGGCCCTATAAAAGGCCTTTAGTATAAATAAAAATCAAGGAATTAAGGATTATTCAAACTTTTTAGATAAAATCGGGTCGTCTGTTAAAAAGTGAGCAAGGGGTCGGATGTTAGAATCTTCACTGAGCATTTCTGCTTCAAATATTTATTGTAATTAGCTGTTTTACATTTAAAAGCATTCTGGTTGAATTGGGTATTTATTGACAGACTTTCTGTGAAGATGTTTAATTTGAATCATTATCAACGGCTTTGTTTCTGATAAAATAAAAAAGATCACTCATTCTTCTGAGTAATTTATTCTGAAATGGATTAGGTTTTTTAAATTTGTGTTTTATTTAAATTGCTTCAGGTTGGCGATGCATATGTTATTATCTAATATATGTACATATAACGATTATATGTAACTACATACCCTCCAACTTATGAAGATTTTGAAAATAACTCTTTCTAGTGGTAGCGAACCAAAGTAGAAATTTTTAAAGCAAATGGATCTCTCATAAAACTTTTATCAGAACTTAAGAATCTAGCCATATGGCCTGCATTTTTATAAGTAATAGTGGACAAGTTACGCTAAAATTAAATTTTTTTAAATATTAAGACATTAATTTTGCTACCGTCTGAAAAGAAGATTTCTGAAACTACGGAAATTCCGTAGCAGTTGGAGGGTATGTAACTACTGTTTTTTTAAATATAATTTTAAGATTTTTTTTTCTCAGCAAGCATTTTAATTTGTTATAAATACCAAAGGTTTTTGCTATCTGATTATTCCAATTTAAGTTTTTGTTGATATCTATATATGTAGAGATATTTTTGAAGTAAAAGTATTAAGTCATTAGCGAAATTTGATTTAATGAGTTCATTCATGAGACCGTTATGCCTGACTCGGTGGAAGTCTTTGGCAATATTCAACATAAGGAAGGCTGAACGATGTTTATTTTTAATTCCTTGTCTTATAATTCCAATAATTCCTATTAATCGGTTACTGGTGCTTAAACTCGGCAGTGTATATTTTTCTTTCAGATCTATCTTCTTAGCCAAATGATTCGTATTGGTGACTCTAAAAATATTTTAAAGAAAATCGATATTTGTATAATTTTTTTCAGTGACTTCTTAAAGTTTTAGGGACCAACTCTAAGTCACAGGATAAGTGTTTTTATGAAAACAGTATCAGTAGAATTGAATACAAATTAAATTGAAACTATAGCGTAACTACCACTACGAAAATTAAACATTAATTGACTATTATATAAAACATGCTAACTTAAAAATAAAAGTTGTATCTTTTGATAAATGAAAATTGGCTTTGTCTGATGGTCTCACCCCAACAGGGGCGAAAGCGAGACGGAAAAGAGGAAAGGCTGGCAGTAAAACCATTTCAGTTATAGCATAGTTTTGGGGAGGAGTTTACTTATTCTTTTTTTAAATTTTTCAACAAAATCTACTTTATCTTGGAAAAGAAGCTGTTTTATATATATGCCAGAATTATAAAAGAAATCTTGATAGTTACAGATATTTCATTTTTTTCGAAAAAAATGCTGGAATGAAATGTTTTACGTACCAGGCTTTTCTCTTTTCCGTCTTGCTATATAAGGGCCTTCACCCATGCTCCCCACAAAACTGCCTACCGTTAACTACTAATTGGATTACCAAAAATTACTGATTGAAGGGCTACCAACTACTACGCTTTTGGCGAAATATTTTACATAGTGGTAGTAAATTACAAACTAAAGAGTTCAGAACTTCTGTTAACAATTTAAATGATTCACTCCGAGAGAACTAGACTTGACTTGCATCACCTCCTATATCAGAAAGCCTCCACACGGTTTTTCATAAGTAGTCTGCGCAGACTATTTAAAAAGTGAACCAGATGTGCACATGAACCCAAATTCTATTTTAAAAGTAATTGAGGGAAATTTATTATATATATTTGAGAATCGAATCTGTGGTGATTGACAAGTAAATAAGACAAACCGATGACATTCATAAATTTAAAAAAAATTTAGACATATAATTGCTACCACTTTCTTATTTTTACAAGATTCTTAACTAATTGACTCTTTAATTAGCTGGTTTATCTATTAAGTTAAGTAGTCTTTCGTTAGCTGGTTTACCTATTAGGTAGTCTAATCGGACTATTTCTAATTGTAAGAAACCATGTGGTGGCTTTTCATTAATAATGCAGTATTTGTCATTGAATGAGTTCATTCAGGTTAGCAGTCTATGTGGTAGCTGTCAGGGGGATTCAAGCACTTTGCTTGAATAAATTATAATAATGAAAATAAAACGAAGCAGCTTGCTCTAAACTACGTGTGACTTTAGTTTTGGATGCTGGTTGACGGTCAGCATGGGGAAACTCTTGATGGAGCTTTCAATATTGTAGTTGTTGAAGCTGACGTTATAAGTGGATCAGTGATTTTGAGAGAACTAGAGAAAAGTAGCATTTAATATTAGCGTTAGAAGCATTTACGTCAAGTGGTGTGGAAAATTAATTTAAATTAAATTTACAAAATAAAGAATAATACATTCAAACATAATCTTAGCTACCACTAGATGAAATTGTTACAAAAAGCATGGTAGGTGGGCTTTAATGTGTTTGATTTCAATTTCAGCATCAAATACAGAGTTTCATATTATTAATATATTTTAGTTCACATTCTTCTTCTTCCATCAGCATGACAACCTAGTACAGGAAAGAGTAGGGCTCGAATAGACGTTAGGTTTCTTCATTCATTGATTCGCTTGGTTTTAGTATCTTTTTCCACAGATTCCTGCCATCTGGTGTTTGGTGTCCCCTTTTTTTCGGTTGCCAGCAAGAATTCGAACTTTCCAAAAGTCCGAATTCTGGCCAAATCGCCTGGGTGATGTCCGTCAGGATAAAACTCTTTTGTATTTATGAACGGGAGATTTTTTTTTGCAAGATAGGGCAGTCATTCCCCAACCTGGATGATCAGGGTAACAATCTTGGTCTGTCCGACTGGGTGAGAATGCCAGGAGCCGAAGCTCCCCCCTGGCATAGCTCTCGGAATTGACAACAGACACTAACCACAATACCAGGGTGAGATGGGATTTTACTATTTAGGTTTTATAAATATTATTATATAAATAAGAATGAAAGAACTGAGTTACCAGTTTTTAACGCTTTGAAAAAGAGAATGGTTCTAAATATTGAAGTTTGGTGTTAAAACGGTTAAGTCATGGAATAACACAACTTTTAAAACATTGTTGAAAACCTTTTAAAGTTCTGCATTAAAAAGTTCTCATAAGCCGTAAAATTTTTTATCACTTATTTATTACAAACATCATGTCTAATTCAAATTGAAAAGAGCACATAAGTAGCATTTTGTAATAAGCACACACTAACCTACATATGCAGGGTTGCCATTTTTCTACTTTTTTTCGAAAAAAAAATTTCTTGTGGTAGCTAATGTTTTAATGCATTATTTTTTATTCATTTAAACTTGTTTTTCACACTACTACATATAAATGATTTAAAAGTTGATATGCAACACCACTTTGTCCAAGCTCTTTCGTGGAGAGCCTTCTAAAACGCTGGCATAAAGCATACTCAATGGCAGACGGGTCAATGGTTTAAATCTCTTTGCCGCTGGGCATCGCGTTTTTCTTGTCCATGTAATGCAAAAGAGGATTACTTCCCCTCAAAGATTCTTTCACGAAGGCTAATTTGTCCCAATGCATGACCAAGGTATTCTCCAGTTTTCTGGGTTGGGTTAAAAACAACAATGCTACAAAGTTGACGGACGTAAACCCAAAAATAATAAATTAACGACATGTAACACTTGTGTCGTTCACTTTTTTTTAAATTTCAGATTAAATTACTAGCTGAAAATGAAAAATAAAAGAAAATAGCAACTCTAGATTAAAGTTGAAAAGGGGTGAAAAAAGGAGTTTAAATTATATTACATAAAATTTGAAGAGAATATTCTGCAATAGGGAAATAAAATTCTTATAACACTGATTTTTATTATTCTAGAACAATTCAATGATTTGATTTAATAACTTACTAGTCAATGGCACTCCAACTAACATGGGTACAGCTTGACTGCATTGGATGAATCCCCAAGCTCGTGAAAAGTTCCTTGCTCTCACTTTCTCAAATGTGAACGTCTTTAAGGAATAGAGGTAACCTCCATAAAAGAAACCATAAACCCACGTGAAAAGAACGTAACCACTATATTCCTTTAGGGAGACAAATGCCAGTATGGATCCTGCAAGCATGAAGACCGATGCTTGAGTCAAATATTGTCTCGCAATCAGGCACTGCATGCTGTTCTTGACTACGATGAAGCCGAAAGCCGTACTCCCAATTGCAGACGCTAAGCCTAAATAGGTTTGCAAACGAAGTAGAGAGTTTGGTTCCAGACCTTCCTCTTTGCCTTGATGCATCTAGAACGAAAGAAATAATTAATAATTAGCTGTCGAAGAAACTTTGTTCTTTTTTTGGTGAAGAACATTATTATTAAATTATTATTATTATTGACGTTTAATATATAACTAGTTATACTACATATGTCATGTCAAACTGATGTTTGACATGACATATGTAGTTAATTATTAGTATGTATTGACATATGACATGACATATGTAGTTAATTATTAGTATGTAGTAGATTATTGACGTTTATTATATAACTAGTTACACCGAAGAGCCTTTACATTATGACCACCCTGCTAATAACATGTATGGTCACCTTTAGCCCTCAAAACTGCAAGCACCCGCCGTGGCATTGATTCCACAAGGTGCTGATAGGTAGTCTGAGGTATCTGGTACCAAGCGCTCGCCAACTGGTCCTGCAATTCCCTCACATTACAAGGGGGTAGCGTGGCAGAACGAATTTGGTTTTCCAAGCAGGACCACAAATGCTCTGTTGGATTTAGGTCAGGTGAATTTGGGGGCCATGACATGACTTGAAAGTCACTGGAATGTTTCTCGAACCAATCCATGATGATTCAACACTTATGACATGGTGCATTATCCTGTTGGTAAACATCATCCCCTGCAGGAAAAACTGTTGCCATGAATGGGTGAACCTGGTCTGCATCCATGTTCAAGTAGCTTACAGACGTCAGGGATTGCTCTATGAGGATTATGGGTCCTAATGTGCCCCATGAAAACATTGTTCCTGGGCGAGAAACTATGAAAACCTGGGCGAGCCTATTGTTATAGATGGAGGGTGGTCATAATGTAATGGCTCTTCGGTGTATACTACATATGTCACGTCAAACGGACGGATTTTTTTCAAAAATAATTTCTGTCATTGTAAGTTTTGGGTTAATTTATGTAAATAAAATACATGGATTTTACATAAATAAGGTAGAACATATAACAATTTTCAAACGAGCATAAAACACACTCCAGCAAAATCTGGTCAAAAAGCCGCCAACAGAGCTGCCAACTCGGAACATCTACATTTTTCACTTTATGATGATAGGTGAAATAATAAATAAATAGGCAAAAGTCATTAAAATGACGTCAACTGATAATACATTTATAACTTTTAATTATTTATTTATTGTGGTAGTAAAAATCTTTTTCAATCAAATGTTAAAATAAGCTGGCCACAGACCTCAAGAAACAAAAATACTGGTAGCAAAATTTCTAAATGAATATGAAAAAATTATCTGCTCTATATTTCCAAATTAATATTCGTGGACAAAGATATTCAGCAGGAATTTTCTGAAATAAATATTTTTCTTTTTTTCTTTAAAAAACTAAAGATAAACGTTTTTAAATGATGTCTTAAAAATTTTGCTACCAGTTTTTTATTTTTCGATGAATGCTGCTTACCTTTTTTTAAAATATAAACTCTCGTTACCACATTAACTATTAGGGATAAAATTTCTGAATCTGTTGAACAGTGGTAACCAACTGGCAGTCTGCGAAGCATTTTTTTGTGTCCCGCGAACTAAAATATATTGTCATTTTTTGCGGATAATTTTAGTAAAAAAATCTACATGGGTTTAAAATACTTTTCCTTCGTTAAAAATAACCTAATTTCTTCGCTTCTGTGAAATTTAACATACCAACGGCGCAAAAAAATTTATTTCTCAGGTTTGGCATGCAAGAAAATATTTATTCAAATACAAAAATAATCGTATATGTTGCTTAAAAATCTACTTCTAATTTTAATTCGTAATTCAATCCTTTTATTTTGTACAACTTGATAAAAATCTGACAGTAATAGTTAATGTTCCTTCAAACATAAAAGAGTCCTAGATAAAATTTCGATAAAGTTGCGGCCCACCTGGTGTTTTTGATTGCACTCGCCGGCCTCATGTAAGTTTGAAACCCCTGTTGTAGAACTTGGTAAGCCAGCTATGGCCATATTTTAAAATATGGAATTATGGAATTTGTTATCCGAAAATAATTCCATGCGAAAAATATCTTTTAGTAAATATTTATTATTTCAATATTATAAATATTTATTATTTTAATATTAGTAAATTTTTATTTTTCTCTTAATTTTTCTTTCTATTATTTTATTTAATAATAGGCCAAAGAATTTTAAATTGTAAGAATACAATTTCTTACACCATTTTAACGAATGTTATTTTGCATGGCAAAATACAAAATTTGAGAGAAATCCGTTAACAGTTCTCGAGAAATCAAATTTTAAAAGTCTTAATACCATCTTCTTGTGTTTGTCGTAACATAAATCATTTGTAATATTTGTAATTTTACATGGCAAAATACAAAATTTGTGCCAAATCTACGAATAATTCTCGAGAAATCAAATATTAAAAAAGTCGTTTATTTCTCCTTGTGTTATTCGTAGTAATATAATCGTATATCGTATACAGTACTTCTAGAGCTATTCGTAATATAAAAAATTAACCAAATCTACGAATAACTCTCGAGAAATCAAATATTAAAAAAGTCGTTTATTTCTCCTTGTGTTATTCGTAATATAATCGTATATCGTATACAGTACTTCTAGAGTAATTCGTAATATAAAAAATTAGCCAAATCTACGAATAATTCTCGAGAAATCAAATATAAAAAAGTCGTACATTTCTCCTTGTGTTATTCGTAATATAATCGTATATCGTATACAGTGCTTCTAGAGTTATTCGTAATATAAAAAATTAGCCAAATCTACGAATAATTCTCGAGGAATCAAATATTAAAAAAGTCGTTTATTTTTCATTATGCTATTCGTAATATAATCGTATATCGTAAATAGTACTTCGAGAGTTATTCGTAATATAAAAAATGTGCCAAATCTACGAATAATTCTCGTGAAATCAAATATTAAAAATGTCGCATATTTCTCCTTGTGTTATTCGTAATATAATCGTATATGGTATACAGTACTTCTAGAGTTATTTGTAATGTAAAAAATAACTGAACATGGAAAAAAACTTTTCGCACTTATTTTATGAAATAACCCTTTATGTAACCAGATATAAATATTCATAACCAGAAATTGTACATCTTTTATTTGCAGCTAAAAGATTTTGAATAGAATACTTCTTTGAATATTATTCGAATCTGAAATATGTATTCTTGGAAATTTAAAATGCTGAAGACGTTTTTCTATTATTTCCTTAATAGCTTGGTACCACAATTTACTCTCACAAAATATAGGGCAACCATGAAGTTTGCTATGTATATTATTTTTGTATTCGAAAAGCACTTGCGCAATTTGTAGGTAAAAGCATTCATTTAATTTATTATATTTACTTTTTTTAACCGAGAAAACGTTGTTTCCTCTTTTAGAAAATGAACTAAAATTGTTCCTTCTTTCAAATAAAATATTAGCTTTTTTTCTTTCTCACAGCTGTTTAACAAATTTATGTCTTCTAAGAATAAATATTTAAAATATGTAGGGATTTTTCGGGGGGGGGGAGGAGTGAGGGAGTGATGCAGCCAATCAAGATGCCTGCTATTTTGTTTTTCATTATTCGATACTTTATATATAGTGCAAATTTTGTATATAACTATTTCCTTATCCCAGAATTTCTTGTTTATAATTTCTTAGTATATTTTATAATTATTTTTTCTTATTCACTTGCAAACAATATCTTCTCATCCCCTCTTTTCTTAATCACTAATTAACTCTTTACACTCCGATGTCTCCGCTGAGGCAGTATCAACAGTCACCACTTTAAAATTATGATATTTTACATCTTATAAATTAGTAACCACATTATTTTGCGAATTTTAAAATTGTATAATAATACTATAGTGTGCATCTTAAATGCTATACAGCTGATATTAAATCAATCAGCATTCTAAAGTACTCGGAGTGTAAAGGGTTAATTTTTCGAAAGAGCTGATAGCCCTCCGGGCTAGGTACTTCGTACCTAGAATTTGTACTGGTAAATCGAGGTCGTACGTTTAAAGAGTGGGCATAATTATTCCTATCTACAAATTTTACTATTTAACCCTTTAACTTGTGCTCTCGAGTTAATTCGAGCACGCTAAACAGGTCAAACTGTGCACACTCGAGATAATTCGAACGGCTTTGTATTTTATGCTGCTATAATTTTTCACACTCGAATATAATCGAGAATTGAAAATAACAATGTGAAAGTTAAGAAAAAAAATCGTTTTATTGATATTTATCATTTACATAGGATTGTAAGCTACCAAAACTTACTTATTCAAGAATAAAATATACAGAGATGCCAACTTACTCCGGACAGCAAATATATATTTTAAAGTGGTAATTTATCAATTGTGATTCTTGGTTTAATAAATTCAATTTAGTTGATTTTTATCCACCACTATTTCTAAATAATTCGTAGGATCACCACTTCATAGTACTTATGTCATGCCATACCTTTCAAAAAACAAGTAAAACTAGTCAAAATTTGCAAAATTTACATAGTTGTTATTTACCGTTTTTTAAAAATTATTTTGGCGTGTCCAGAGCAGTTGGCCTCTCTGAATATAACCTTTTTTCAAAAAATCGCAGTATATCAAAATTGTCCACCAAAAGAAAAGACAATGTTCTAAAGTGTGTTTTTTTACATTAAAGAAAAAAAAATCAATTTCTTTTGGCCGGTTTTTTTCAAAAAATCTGCGCGTTAATTGGCTTCCAATTTATTAAAACTTATGTAGAAAGCGGAGCAGTTGGCCTCCCTGTTTGGATCGCTCAGACAACACCAGAATTTGAAATTGTGTCACTTTATTGGGAGGTGAGAGCTTTATCCACAAAGCCACCGAGGACTATTTTGAAATTTCACTGTTTTTATGGTTGAGATGTATTTCTAAAACCGTAGCTCCCTTGGTAGAATGGTAGAAATCACATAAATCTTGGTGCGCTGCCGCGAAGCGGCATTAACCGATTCATCTGTACTAATAAGTCGATGATGAGGAGTAGAAGAGGGGGGTGCTTAGCACCAAAAATTCGAGAGGGGGTTCATAGCTCCCTTCATTC